TTCAAGAACACACATATCATGAAAACATCTAGCAAGTAGCATGAATCTAGTATTAAGTGAATAGCGAGTAAACCTATTTCGATTACAAGTCCATACATGTAAAATCCTTTCGACATCCAATTTCCCGATTAAATTTTTGGGTATGATTTTGTCGAAACCCAAATTGATTTAATAACTATGATTCCATTTCAAGTTTAGTAATTCGTTTATGAATCTCTCTTCATTCCGCCTTGGCCAAGGACTTTGAATTACTAACTATGAAACACATAGGAAATTCACTTATCTTCATAAGTGTCGAATCCTTTGTTGGCCACTGACAAACTTCCATACATATTAATATAATACCCAAAGTATCCCTTTATACGATTGTGCTAGCAATCAAAAGGATAAATCAAAGTAAAATATAATATGCACAAAGTTACCATCGTGCCTCAAGTCTAAGGATTAATCATGTACTATTGTAACATGAAAATTCTTAATCGACATGATAAACTTTCATTAAGAATTTTCATACGGTCATGTTCAGTGAACTTGTTCTCTAACAAGCACCCACATATATGTATTTGCGTCCCACGCTAATGTTGATGGAATGCAACATTCTTATCTAATAAACATACATACTATGTGCAAGTCTTTTCCGGATTTATTTGATATCCCATCTCGAAATATCCAACGACTTGGAACTGTATTTAAAATCACAACTTTCAAGATATGTTCCATGATCACCATCTCTATGCGCAACCATATCTTATAGCTATAAGTGATCTAGGGATTTTATCTTAAGTGCAAATATATGATAAATGCTTACTCTTAAAATAAAGTAATGTCTTATTATTTAATATAATTCCAATAGATTGTATTTACAAGTAGAATACGTCCAATTCGATTGGAACGTTGGGTATCCTACTCTAACAATCTCCCACTTGCCCTAGTTCTAATCACTCATGTATCTTAGACCCATTTTCTCAAGATGTCCTTCGAACACTTTCTGTGATAAAGGCTTAGTTAAGGGGTCTGCTATATTTTCTGCTGAGTCGACTCGCTCCATTATGACGTCTCCTCTACCAATGATTTCTCTAATCAAATGGTATCGTCTCATAATGTGTTTGGATCTTTGATGAGATCTTGGTTCCTTTGCTTGCGCAATAGCCCCATTGTTATCACAATAAATCGTTATTGGATCAACAACAGATGGTACTACACCCAACCCTTGGATGAAGTTCCTTATCCAAACAACTTCCTTTGCAGCATCAGATGCTGCAATATATTCAGCTTCTGTTGTAGAGTCAGCAATCGTTTCTTGTTTGGAACTTATCCAACTAAATGCTGCTCCATTCAGAGTAAACAAGTAACCAGTCATGGATTTAAAGTCATCTTTATCGGACTGAAAACCAGAATCAGTAAAACCTTCTAGTTTCAATTCTCCATTGCCATATACCATAAACATATCCTTAGACCTTCGTAAGTACTTAAGAATCATCTTAACGGCTTTCCAGTGTTCTTCACCTGGATTAGACTGATATCTGCTCGTTACACTAAGTGCATGAGCAACATCAGGTCTTGTACATAACATAGCATACATAATGCTACCAATAGTTGATGCATAAGGTATATGACTCATCCGCTCTCTTTCTTCAGGTGTCTTTGGAGACATTGTCTTAGAAAGTGAAACCCCATGACTCATTGGAATATATCCACGTTTGGATTCTTCCATACTAAACCTTTTTAGTACCTTATTTATGTACGTAGACTGGGATAGTTCGATCATCCTTTTAAATCTATCTCTATAGATTTTCATCCCTAGGATAAAGGATGCTTCTCCTAAATCTTTCATGGAGAACTGTTTAGACAACCATGTCCGTGTTGATTGTAACATTCCTATATCATTCCCTATGAGTAAGATATCATCAACATAGAGTATAACAAAGGCAACTGCATTCCCATTAACCTTCTTGTAAACACATGGTTCATCCAGGTTCTTATGAAAATCAAACGTTTTGATCATTTCATCAAATCGAATGTTCCAACTCCTCGAAGCTTGTTTAAGTCCATAAATGGACCTTTGAAGCTTACAAACCATTTGTTCGCTTCCACTGGATATGAAACCCTGCGGCTGTTTCATATAAATGTCTTCCTTAATGTTTCCATTAAGAAAAGCAGTTTTCACATCCATTTGCCATATCTCGTAGTCATAATACGCAGCTATGGCTAGCAATATCCGATTAGATTTAAGCATTGCTACTGGTGAAAAAGTTTCCTTATAATCAATTCCTTGTTTTTGAGTATAACCTTTAGCAACCAGTCTTGATTTAAAAGTATTTACTTCTCCATCTCCACCACGTTTTCGTTTGTAAACCCATTTACAACCTATGGGTACAATACCCTGTGGTGGTTCAACCAATGTCCATACTTTGTTTGAATACATGGAATCTATCTCGGATTGCATAGCTTCTTGCCATTTATCTGAGTCAATGTCCGACATTGCCTCATCATAGCTTATTGGATCTGAAGTGAATATGATTCACCCGGGCTCCTTCTGTTGGGTTCTCCTGTACCGTACGGGCTATACGCAGCGGAATTTAAAATTTTTCCAAACAAGTATTTAACACTTAAATACTTAACCCGTATATACATATGGCGAATTAAAAAATCGTCATCTTTAAAAACATGTAATAACACAAATTTTGATTTGTTACAAGTAATATCAAATATTACCTAATATGTCTTGAACTCCTTCAAAGACGACGGTAGTTGAGGAAATCGGTTCCCGGTTGAACAACGATCGCTTCGGGTTGCTCGCTTTAGGAATCCACGTGTCTTCCCTCTAAGAGTATCCACCACTTGTATTCCAACACCGAGATGATCCTTCGCTAGTAGGAACTCACTCGATTTTATAACTTAGTATAGAAATATATATTATGAGGAGAAAATTACAAGAACTTTTCTTGATATTACAACACTTGAAAAACTAACTCTTTAGCTCTCAACACTTTGTAAAATTGTTAACACAAATTGTAGTAAATATGAACATCAACCATGCCCATATTTATACTAAATTTTTAGTAATAAAATATATATATGTCTTGTATAACTTTTACAAGAAATGATAAATAAATTCAACCATAACAATTTATGACTTGAATAATTTTCACAAGACATGTTAAAATATCTTGTATCATTTCTACAAGTTATTACAACAATATAATAATGTGCAAGATCCCATCTTTCTCATTATTATATTATTATTATTTAATTCTTAATAAATATTAAAAATCAATAATAATAATAAACAAATAATTTTAAACTCTTTTAAAATCATTTGTAAACATATATATATATATATATATATCATATTAATATTCTCCTCATATAGTAATCATATTATTATTTGGATTTGAATTTTAAAATCCTATTTTAAAATCCAACTATTTATTTAGTAATTACACTAATCACTAAATTAATATCCAAAATATAATTAATCAATCCAATTGATTAATTTAATATATTTCTTTAATTGACATCTAATCAAAATTAGATTTTGTCAATTAATTCTAACTCTTTAGAAATACTAATATTGGTCTTCATACAAACATTGGTATGACCTTTTAGGTTCACAATTAATACTAGTAGTGAGTTTACAACACTTTGTAATTTGAGTTAATCATATTAACTCTTATTCTTGAATTAACCCCTTAATTCAAGAACCCACATATCATGGGAACACCTAGCAAGTAGCATGAATTATTACGTGAATAGCGAGTAAACCTATTTCGATTACAAGTTCATACATGTAAAATCCTTTCGACATCTAATTTCCCGATTAAATCTTGGGTATGATATTGTCCAAACCCAAATTAATTTAATAACTATGATTCCATTTCAAGTTTAGTAATTCGTGTATGAATCTCTATTCATCCTGCCTTGGCCAAGGACTTTGAATTACCAACTATGAAACACATAAGAAATTCATTTATCTTCATAAGTGTCGAATCCTTTGTTGACCACTGACAAACTTCCATACATATTAATGTAATACCCAAAATATCCCTTTATACGATTGTGCTAGCAACCAAAAGGATAAATCAAAGTAGAACACAATATGCACAAAGTTACCATCGTGCCTCAAGTCTTAAGGATTAGTCATGTACTATTGTAACATGAAAATACTTATTCGACAAGAAAAATCTTTCATTAAGAATTTTCATACGGTCATGTTCAGTGAACTTGTTCTCTAACAAGCACTCACATATATGTACTTGCGTCCCACGCTAATGTTGATGGAATGCAACATTCTTGTCCAACAAGCGTACATACTATGTGCAAGTCTATTTTCCGGATTATTCGATATCCCATCTCGAAACATCCAACGACTTGGAACTGTATTTAAAATCGCAACTTTAAAGGTATGTTCCACGATCACCATCTCTATGCACAACCATACCTTATAGCCATAAGTGATTTAGGGATTTTATCTTAAGTACGATTATAGGATAAAAGCTTACTCTTAAGATAAAGTAATGCCTTATTTACAATATAATTCCAATAGATAGTATTTACAAGTAGAATACATCCAATCCTATTGGAATGCCAGGTATCCAACTCTAACAATCTCCCACTTGCCCTAGTTCCAATCACTCATGTATTTAAGACCCATCTTCTCAAGATGTCCTTCAAACACTTTCTATGATAAGGGTTTAGTTAAGGGGTCTGCAATATTTTCTGCTGAGTCGACTCGCTCCATTACGACGTCGCCTCTACCAATGATTTCTCTAATCAAATGGTATCGTCTCATAATTTGCTTCGATCTTTGATGAGATCTTGGCTCCTTTGCTTGCGCAATAGCCCCATTGTTATCACAATAAATCATTATTGGATCAACAACAGATGGTACTACACCCAACCCTTGGATGAAGTTTCTTATCCAAATAGCTTCCTTTGCAGCATCAGAGTAAACAAGTAACCAGACATGGATTTAAAGTCATCTTTATCCGACTGAAAACCAGAATCAGTAAAGCCTTCTAGTTTCAGTTCTCCATTTACATACACCATAAAGATATCCTTAGTCCTTCTTAAGTACTTAAGGATCATCTTAACGGCTTTCCAGTGTTCTTCACCTGGATTAGACTGATATCTGCTCGTTACACTAAGTGCATAAGCCACATCAGGTCTTGTACTTAACATCGCATACATAATGCTACCAATAGCTGATGCATAAGGTATATAACTCATCCGTTCTCTTTCTTCAGGTGTCTTTAGAGACATCGTCTTAGAAAGTGAAACCCCATGACTCATTGGAATATATCCACGTTTGGATTCTTCCATGCTAAACCGTTTTAGCACCTTATTTATGTACATTGACTGGGATAGTCCAATCATCCTTTTAAATCTATCTCTATAGATTTTTATCCCAAGGATAAAAGATGTTTCTCCCAAATCTTTCATGGAAAATTGTTTTGACAACCATGTCCGTGTTGATTGCAACATCCCTACATCATTCCCTATGAGTAAGATATCATCAACATAGAGTATAACAAAGGCAACTGCATTCCCATTAACCTTCTTGTAAACACATGGTTCATCCAGGTTCTTATGAAAATCAAACATTTTGATCGTTTCATCAAATCGAATGTTCCAACTCCTCGAAGCTTGTTTAAGTCCATAAATGGACCTTTGAAGCTTACAAACCATTTGTTCGTTCCCACTGGATATGAAACCCTCCGGTTGTTTCATATAAATGTCTTCATTAATGTTTCCATTAAGAAAGGCAGTTTTGACATCCATTTGCCATATCTCGTAGTCATAATACGCAGCTATAGCAAGCAATATCCGAATGGATTTAAGCATTGCTACTGGTGAAAAGTTTCCTCATAATCAACTCCTTGTTTTTGATTATAACCTTTAGCAACCAGTCTTGCTTTAAAAGTATTCACTTCTCCATCTACACCACGTTTTCGCTTGTAAACCCATTTACAACCTATGTGGTGGATCAACCAAGGTCCATACCTTATTTGAATACATGGAGTCCATTTCGGATTGCATAGCTTCTTGCCATTTATCTGAGTCAATGTCCGACATTGCCTCATCTTAGCTTATTGGATCATTATCCAAAAGGAGTCCATCTTCTTTGTTCTCTAACAATAGGTACAGCCTCTCAGGTGCCCTTGAAACCCTTGTGGATCTCCGAAGAGGTTGTGTTTCAGATGGTCCAATATCTACTGGTATGTTATTTGTGGTAACTTGTGGAATTTCTGGTGGTTCTTCATTAAGTTCTACAACTCCGCTATTCTTTGAGAGAAACTCTTCCTCTAAGAAAACAGCATTCCTCGAAACAAACACTTTTTTTTCAGAGGGATCATAGAAATAGTATCCAATAGACTCTTTTGGATACCCCACAAATTTACATAAGATGGATCTCATATCCAACTTATCTCCCACTAAACGCTTCACATAAGCAGTACAACCCCATACTCGTAAATACTTGTACGAGGGTGTTTTGCCACACCATATCTCATAAGGTGTGTTAGGCACAGCTTTACTTGGCACTCTATTCAAAATATGTGCTGCTGTTTCTAAGGCATAGCCCCAGAATGAAAGAGGTAAACTAGTGGAACTCATCATTGATCGAACCATGTCTAACAATGTTCGATTCCTCCTTTCTGAAACCCCATTGAGTTGTGGAGTTCCAGGAGGTGTCCACTGTGAAATAATCCCATTATCTCTTAAATAATCAAGAAACTCAATAGTCAAATATTCACCTCCTCGATCCGATCGAAGAACTTTAATAGTACGACCAATTTGTTTCTCCACTTCATTTCTGAATTCTTTGAACTTTTCAAATACTTCAGATTTGTACCTCAATAGGTAAACATATCCATACCGTGAATAATCATCAGTAAATGTTATGAAATAGTGGTAGTTCCCCTTGGCACTAACATTTAGTGGTCCACAAACATCTGTATGGATTAAATCTAACAGACCTTTAGCTCGCTCCACTTGTCCAACAAATGGTGATTTTATCATTTTACCTTTAAGACATGACTCACAAGTAGGCAACCTTTCCTCGCCCCTAAGGTCGAGTTTTGGTCCCAATTTGTGAATCCTCTTTTCAGATATATGACCCAATCTAACATGCCAAATTGTGAATGAACTATGATTATCTAATTTCCTTTTATTTTGTTGAATAGTTAGGATGAGACTTTGTGGTGTAATGGTATATAATCCATTTGTCAAATTTTCGGAATATATAAAAGTTGTATTTTTAAAAATAGAACACTTTCCATTTTCAATAACAAACTTAAAACCCTCTTTATCCAATACTGGAATAGAGATAATGTTTCTTATAATGTCCGGAACATACAAACAATTTGTAAGGCAAATATTTACACCATCATTAAATGCTAGATAAACAGTCCCAATTGCCTTGGCAGCAACTCTTGCCCCATTGCCCATCCTTAGGATTATTTCTTCAGGTTCTAGCATGTTACTTCTTGCCATCATCTGCAAATCATTGCAAATATGTGAACCACAGCCGGTATCTAATACCCAAAAAGAATCATTAACTGATAAGTTAACTTCAACAAAATAAATACCTGAACTCTTCAGGCTTGCAAGATACTCCTTGCAGTTCCTCTTCCAGTGCCCAGTTTTACCACAATGATAACATTCGTGATTAGACTGAGGATTAACCTTTTCTTTGTTCTTCCCTTTATCGTTATTTGCCTTCTTGTTGGGTTTATTGGGAACCTTCCCCTTCCCCTTCCTCTTCTTAGACTTTAAGGTCTTCGCTTTGGAAGTGGATCCAACAAGAAGCATCGGCTCATCCTTTTTAATTGTGGATTCAGCCGTCTTTAACATGTTCACTAATTCTGGCAGAGAAGTCTCCATATTATGCATGTTAAAGTTAACGACAAAGCTGTAAAATGACGGTGGAAGAGTTTGCAGCATGAGATCCACATAGAGTTCATTATCCATAATGACTCCAAGGGACGAAAGTCTTTCCACAAGAGCTATCATCTTCAGCCCATGATCATGAACTGAAGAGCTCTCGGTCATACGACACCTGAAAAGTTCCTTAGATATCTGATATCTAATCTGTCGCGTCCTATTACCATACAACTCTTGTAAGTGAAGGAGTATTTCAGAAGCATTATTCAACAATGCGTTCTGTCTCTGCAACTCATTAGACATAGATGCTAACATGTAGCACCGAGCCTGGAGATTGTCATCTGTATGACGTAAATACTCTCCATACTCATCAGATGTCTGATCCTCTGGTGGAGGAGGAGGGGCTCTGTCCAGTACATCTTCCCTCTTCTCAGACTGAAGAACAATTTTTAGGTTCCTTAGCCAATCGTTAAAGTTGGGTCCAATTAATTTGTTTTGTTCTAGTATACTTGCGATTGGATTTTTAGCCATTTTCGTAGATTGATCTACAAAACAACAAACGAAGCAGAAAATAGTTAGACTATGGAATTTATATTCATTTAACATTAGGTCTTTAATATTAAATGCCTCCCACTATTTTAATTAAAACCTATTTTAATTATGAAAATCTAATTTTCATAGTGGGCTTGAAGTCCAATAAAAATATTCCATATCCCAATTTTATGAGTACGCATGGAACATTTATACTGGTAGTCAACCTTTTGACAATTGTATCTCTATACAACCTTCAAGATGTTTTGCCTCACCTTTCCTTATATACCTTAATTTTATGACCGCATATATTACTCCGTGTCAAATCAAACCCATCAAACATTCATGATAACGGCCCATTAGAGTGTCCCACGACTCATGGTCAACACAAAAAGGAATCCGTCTCACGAGTATCACTATACTTAGTAGGGATCACAGCTTTCGACACAAAACCACCCCATGACTCATGGTCAGTGATAAAGCATTGTAGTATCCTATGTCGTCTACTTTTGATGGAAGGCCTGGATTAATAAGTTCTAACTTATTTTTATCCATTACTGATTTGATATGAATTAATCAAATTAATTCTTTAGGGGTTCCTTAATCTCATCGTTTACCATCTTTACGTGTGTTTATTTACCGTATTTTCCATCGCATGAAACCAACGCATAAATAAACCTAACATACATCTAATGCATGCACATGGTGGATGATCATGACCTTGCCTATGCGATCCATTCGAGCCAAAATGGATCTATGCCTATGCACGTGATAAAATAAATAAATAGAACTACTTTTATTACAATTTATTTTATCTACCCGTACAAGCACAGGCCTTCGAGTTTTATAACTTGTAAAATTACCCACACAAGCGTGGGCCTTTTGCATCGAACGGTCTCCACCTAGATCTAATCTCTAACGATACAAGAATTTAAAATTTTACAAATCATAACTCAAGAGACTCGCAGGTCTCGATAAATTACATTCATTCAATCTTATTGAAAAATTAAACCATTCAATCATACTGAATTAAAAGGCAACCATTCAATCACATTGAATAATAAAATAGAAATTCAATCATATTGAATATGAGGCTCATGATCATCCCATTCATCACATGAATTAAAACATAATAATTTTTTTTTATTAAGTCACACGACCCATGTGAGTCCACACGACCCGTGTGATCCTATCACACGACCCGTGTGAAAAACCCGTAAGAAAAAATCAAATTTTTCCTTAAGTCACACGACCCGTGTGGCTCAAGACACGGGCCGTGTGTCTCCACACGACTCGTGTGACTATGTCACACGACTCGTGTGAAAATCACGAACCAAAAAACAAGTTTTTCTTTATACTCACACGACCCGTGTGGCTCATGGACACGACTCGTGTGAGTCCACACGACCCGTGTGACTTAGTCACACGACCCGTGTGGCTAAAAAATCAAAATTTTTATTTATTTTGATAATTAATATGTTTATCATCTAAACATTTAATTATCATATAAACTTAAACAAATCAAACTCTATTTTTAAAGATGATAACCGTGGCTCTGATACCACTGTTGGTTTCGCCTGTACCGTACGCGCTATACGCAGCGGAATTTAAAATTTTTCAAAACAAGTATTTAACACTTAAATACTTAACCGTATATACATATGGCGAATTAACAAATCGTCATCTTTAAAAAACATGTAATAATACAAATTTTGATTTGTTACAAGTAATATCAAATATTACCTAATATGTCTTGAACTCCTTCAAAGACGACGGTAGTTGAGGAAATCGGTTCCCGGTTGAACAACGATCGCTTCGGGTTGCTCGCTTAAGGAATCCACGTGTCTTCCCTCTAAGAGTATCCACCGCTTGTATTCCAACACCGAGATGATCCTTCGCTAGTAGGAACTCACTCGATTTTATAACTTAGTATAGAAATATATATTATGAGGAGAAAATTACAAGAACTTTTCTTGA